CCCATGGAAACAAGGTTTTTGAGGTTAGAAAAAAAAACCACACGTTCTAGCTCAATTCTGACAGTGGATTTGAATTCAGCAGAGTCTTTTACATAAAAATATACTATTTGATGTGGAAATAAATTTTTTTCCAAATTTTCCCAGTATATTCTCATCAATTTTCACTATTTTTCACAAGTTTTTTGAGGTTAGCAAAAAATTTTGACGTGATGGGCCAATTCTGACCCCAGATTCGTGTTCAGGAGGCCAAATTACTACGAAAAATATGTCGCATAAAAAGTATACCCAACTTTTTTTTTGTATGGCTGTGTAATCTGCCGGTTTTTCTACACAAGTTATAAATTTTTTAGTAATTATTTGTTCTTAATGAGTAATGGAGACAACGCACGACGTTCACAATTATCCATACAAAAATTTAATAAAGAGCATTTTTAACCTCATCAAGTATTTTTCATATGAACCGCCTAACTCCATAATCACGCAACTCCAATTAAAAGTCCCAAATATATATATATAAAAAAAATATATTTGAAATTTAGAATTATATTCACGGGATTATACTTCAACATAATAATCTTGCTCAACAATTTAAATATATACAATATTGTGATTATAAACATTTTACTCTCTCCTGTAAAATTTAGATCAATGGAATTACGTGCTTTTCTTACTAAGGCGATGATATGAAGCATGGAAACCCGTTACGATTGTATAACATATTTGTGAGAAATATTGAAATCTCGTGTGTAATATAACCAAAGTAAGACCAATTTGTAAAAATTTATATTAAAAAACTTACCTCAAGAACCCAACTCTTTTCAGCATTAATGGTGGCCATATTATAAAAAACAAAAATTGGTAAAAACTCAGCAATAAGTGCCCTGGCTGACCATGATGGACAGTTAGCAACTTTTCTTATGGCACCTATTGCACATGGAATGTATTTTTCTATTGTCATTGTTTGTGCAAGTACTACCAATAAATTAGTTGCTATATTTGCCAGTTCTTCATCAATTTCATTATTTTGGAGTAGTGCCGCCAGAGGAAGCAGTTCAAAGAATTCGGGTTTTGCTGAGAAATTAACCCTCACCATATTTGTTGTAACAAACTTCGCCACTAAAAAAAAATAATAATTAATTTTGAAGTTAACTATCTAATTAAAAAAGTTAATATAATTTTTAGGATTATAATAGTTATGTTTTTTATCTAAAAATTTGTTTTATAAATATGGACTAAGAGATATCAAATCATTGAAGGAATAAATTTACAGTCATCATGTAAAAATGCTAGGTTCAACTGTAACTTTGTCGTATTTGGTGATATTTTTGTTATTTGATCGGGTATTTCTATTACAAAAAAAATTTTTTTTTATTAACCTTTTGCACCAAGAGAATCAGTCCAAGGGTTTATTTTATAAATTTAGTTTTGTGTAACCAAAAATATCTCACTGAGAGACGTAATGTGTCACAATACAATAATCACTAACACATATTACATACGAGTAGTTTACATTTTGAAAAACTCTGTTTCGTTATTAAAGCTGGTTTTCAAATTGACTTAAGGGGTAACATCACTGTAAAATGCTAAAATAAAGTATTTTTCCAATTTTTTTTTTAAGGAAAAGTAAGGGAATATAATATTCAAGGATATAATTAACCGTGTCTTTAAGTGTTCAAAAAAATATATATTTATTTATAAATAGTATAAAATGGCGTTACTGGAGCCATTTTCGTGAAGCATGTTGAATGCGGCACGCAATGCAACTGACGCAAATTTAAATCTGGAAAAAAATAAAAAAATTAGAGAAATACATAGGGGATTTTGAAAACATAATTTTTTTTTGTGATTGGTGAGCGTTTGAAGTTAAAAGTTCAATTTTTATTCAATTCAAATAATGTTAAAATCAACTTATAGGAAATCGCAAACGTACTTCTTATCGAAATGTTATTTAAAGATATGGTCATAATTTGGAGTGAGTAGAATGAAAATTGTTACAATTATGCTGCATGCCCCTTTAAAAAATCGTGTTTCAAGAAAAACTTTTGAGATATACGCTTTACTAACGTAATTTCTTGTGAAATGCTTCTAATTAAACACAAATGCTTAGTATTAGAGAAGTTAGAAATCAAAAGGTAAGTCATTAGGCTGTACCCTTCCTGTAGGTATCTATGTGCCGCAGGTAGTCGTTTCAGCGCAGTACGATGCACTAGACAGAGCTCGGAACTTTATAAAAAAAAAATGGATAGGCATAAAACTTGTTTTCCCTTATTCTGAAGGTTCAAAGCATTTTTTAAATCAATTAAAAAATATATAGATTTTCTGAAAATTATACAGCTTTCTTACCCCTTAGAAGTCAAATGTAACAGATTCCTTTTTTTATTTATCTACATTTCATAAAAATATAAGGTGTCTTCTATTATTACGTACCTCGTCATTGAGAATATTAACAATAATAAAAAATTAAGATATTTTTTGACACTTTATCAACAAAATAGTATTTAATATTTTTTTTTTAGTTTAGTTTTCTTTTTACTGTGTTATTTTGTTCTCAAAAATTATGTTATTTCGTCGAATAACATGACAGTTCTGTCACCATGTTCGCAAATATACCATTTTTCAAATTGTTTATTTTTAGTATAATATCTGATGTCCCTAACACTAACATTTAAAGGTAATGAAGTTACACCAACATAATATTTATTATATTCAAAAGGTTCTTTAAAATTTTAAATCGTGTTTTGTAGTTGAGTTTTTGATAAAATTGTCCTTAACATATTTGAAAAACATATTAAACATGTTACCAATTTTTTTCAATTTTTTCAGGTAAACCCTGAATGTCATTTTTACAGTATGTATAAAATTATGTGTGCCTTTGAAAATTACACAGGACCACAAAAAAAAATGAGTTGAGGGTTCCTTGAACCAGACCAAGTGCCGTTTTCATACTGGCCTACATGACAAAGATGCCAGTGGATGCGTAATTTCATATAAATAAATGGTCATGTTTTCACACTCGCCGATATATCGGCATCGTGTCGTGACAGGCTACTCCACTCGTGTCGTTGCTGATTTTGTGTCGGTATCGGTGCTGTGCTAATGTCGTGCCGGTGTCAGTATATGTGAAAACGCCCATAAACAGTGGCGGCGCGTGAACATTGATTGAATGTGTTCCGCTTAGGGTTGTTACATTTGTTGAATTGAATTCCGGGATATTAAGTGCCCGGAGAGTCTCTAAATGACGCCCTAAACATTTTAAAATTTTCAAGGTCATTAGTATTCCTGGCACTTCTGGATTTCAAGGAGCAATCCATTTATACAAAAATACAGATTTTCACAAGAACGATTTTTGAAATTGATACCTTTTTGAAATATCTATTCAAGAATTACTTACCTACTGACGGTATAAATAAATTGGAATAAACTAAGTATATTTTATTAAATTATTGAATATTGTTTATAAACAAAAAAATCGTTTGTGAAGTTTATTCAACGAATTTTAATTTTCTTCTCCGTGTTATGATTTTTTCTTTATCTTTTTTCATATATATGTACATATATTATATTCCGGGAGATTATACGTGCAAATCCGAAATACGGGACCATACAGCTAATTCCCGGTACAATCACAGAAAATCCGGTCATACCCATGTGGCTAGATGTTCATTTAATATGTCGTCAAGATCTGCACTAAAATTTATGAGTTCACGAAACACATCAGGGTTGTCCGAATTTTCTGTCTCGTCTTGTCCGCAAAGTGCTAATTCGAAAGCTCCGCAAAATTTTTTGCAATCTATGATTTTAGATAATACATAACGATTTTTCGTTATCTGTTCATTGTGTTTCCGTATATTATCCCAATAGCCAGAATCTAACTGATTTCTTATGTTTATTTTACCTAATGACTTAAATGACTTAAATCTTTCACACTGTATATTGTCCATGCTTTATCCCCACCGAAAAGTAAGCACGGAAAACAAAACAGTGTATTTTTGATATCACACTCGCACACCCACTCTGCTTTTGTGTATACATTATTGTTAAATTGTCTTTTAAAACTTTTACTTCGGCTTGTTCCACTAACTTCAATATTTAATTGTGGTGTTGGTTCACCTAATTCTTTTATTTTTAGTTTATCCTCATAAGGCAGAGAAACAAATAAAGTTTTTTGTAAAAACGAAATGCTATTCATTTTAATAACTATAATACCCATAAACGCCTAAATGAAAACATTCACACGTGCCGTTTGCAGAAATAAACCACCACATACCACGAACAAAATATTACTGCATTTACTGCAGCTGTGGCTGTCATTGTTACAGTCACATAACTCCATATATGTGTGTACTGGGTCACATGCCTGATTAGCCAATAAAAACAAAGGACACATCTAACTGTTCGCTGTGAACACATTTTGTATATGAGGTTGCATATATTAAGGGGCGTAGCGTAGATTTATTTTAGCACGAGTACATTTGAATTCTTTAAATATTTTGTTGATATTTAATATGATTAAATACATCAAATTTTATGTGTTCTGCAGCTTCGCAGCTCTTATGGTAAAACCGCCACTGCCCATAAACATGATCTAGTTAGGCTACTTACTAATTTTCCAGTGGATAAACTTGTCCAAAACTAATTACAAAACGATATGAATTTAAAAAACACCAAATTTAAAAATTGAATCTATAATGGAATTACTATACACATATATATATTGAAATGATACGGTTAATCTTGACGATTAAGTTAGAGACAAAAAAAATTATATATTGGGGATGTCGTCACACGACGACATCCCCAATATATAATTTTTTTTTGGTCTATATATATATAAAAGTAACGTATTTTCAATTAAATGATGATTTCTATTAACAAAACTTTGGAATGATTGTGACATCATCACTATCTCCAATATTAAGTAATACAGAGCCTTCATAAATGTTTACAAGCTACGTGACTGCTGAGATTAAGTAACCCAACATTGCACGATTGGTACTGGTAACGAAAATTCCCTGAATCTTGGCGTCACCAACATTAATAACTCATTTACAATAAACAATGATAAATCGTTACGTCTACACTAGAGATAATGTGATTGCTGATTTGGTTGAATAATATCTCGTGAAAAATTACATTACACCAATCACAGCCGATGAAACAGAATGTTGCATTTTAATGTGATCTTGATCTTATATTTTCATTCATCATTTTTAATTTTATCGAAATTTAATTACCAACATGACGGAAATAAAATTAATGTTAAAACATTAAAATATAAACAAAATAAGCTATGGCTTGGTGGAGATAAGTATTGAAGGTCACTTTTTTTTACCGTAGAACTGATAATTTTAAGCCCTTTCAAATGATTCAACTGTCCTGAAAGGCAATGATATTATAGGTATGACATTTCTTACCTTTTTTTCTTATCCAAAGAAAATAAGAGTGGGAGATCATAAAGAGACATAAATTTGATAGAGTTAACTACTTTTGTTTGCAATAAACTTTCAAAAATATTTCTTTTTATTGAGAATAAGAATTTCTTTAATTTCCACTCTTCGCTATAAGGATATTAGGCACTTACCTATCTTAAATAGTCGTATTACAGATTCTTTCTCCTCTTCGCAATCTAGACTAATTATATCACAGGTCTTGTTCAGCTCACCATTTTCATTGCTCAGCTTTGCAAGGCTGCTATTATACAATTTATTTAATTTAGGCAGCACCTCTTTAAGAAATTCTTGAGTCCTTGGACCGTCAGTTTCATTTCCCTCTGGGAAATGTATATCTTTGGATAACATAATAGTCAGACAAGAGCTGATTTTTTCACGGATATTTTGAAATGGATGAGACAGATGTGGTTTAAAATAATCCAATAATCTATTGCAGATTTCTGAATTTCTCCAAGACTGTTGATTAATCGCTATGCAAAGTAAATGTAAACGACTGCAGGCTATGAAGGATGTCGGATCTTTCAAGGGATCGTTTAGCAGGAATTCTAATAGCCAGTGGCATTTATTTGGATCACGCGACTCGATGCCCATGGTAATACAAAGCGCCCAGTCAGTCTGAGTCTCTGAACACATATTTACTATGGCAGTTTCTAAAATTGGAATTAGTACAGCCCAAAGTTTTTCTACTTTTTTATATTCCCAGTGCTTCGAGCCCCTTATTAATGCACTAATAATTTCGGCAGCACATCTTTGGTTGGATTCCAATTTATCTTGCACTAGTTTTTCTATATATGGTAAAAAAATTGGAAGAAGTTCGTCTTCAAATATTTTAAACAAGTTCTAAAACATAAAAGTTAAGTAATATAGAAATTAACTAGATTCTGGGCTAATTCTTACCTTGAAAGTTAAGAACCTGTATGCATTAAACTGATCATGTCCTTTCTTTTCTTCTAAAGACAGGTATTTAATTAGTTTTTCTATATTTGATTCATTTCTGAAGAAACTGTAAATTTCTGTTTCTGTGTCACTTAAATTATTCATCCTTTTTGCGGCAGAAGTTTGTTTAGAAGGGGAATTATATACTTCCAACTTTTTAGGCCAATTATAATAACCAGTAAACTGGTCATGAATGAATCTTGGTTCATCCCAAGCTTCCGCATTTTTTGGTAATGTTTTACTATTATAGAGTAACCATTTATTATCGTCTCTAATTCCAGGTTTTAACTGTTTTCTTTCTGTGGGAGAAGTAGAATATTTATAAGGATCTATTTCAATCTTCTCAAACTTTGGCTTGTTTTGTATCATTATAAATACTAGAACTCTCATGGCAGTTTTTCTAATTGTTAATGATTCATTTATAGATGCTTTTAAGAAAAATTTTACTATCCTGGAATTGTAGTTGACATCAAAATGCACTAAGTCTTTAATAAAGTTTAAAGTCATGGAATGGTAACGCCAGTGCCTAAAAATTTGTAAATAATCAGTTTACAATGATACAGTTTTCAATTAATAAGGTAATTTCAACTAGTAAAATTACATGCCCATATAAATCGTTATTGTATACAGTGTTCAGAATAATTTGCCACATTTCAAAATTTGAATTTTATGGTTAATAAAAAAAAAGGATCTACTGATCTGAAGACATTTCGCTTTGGAGATACTGGGTGATAAAATTTGAAAATATGTGTTTTTCTAAAATATCTCTAAATATATCTGATGTAGGGTAATGAAACTTGAATTGTATATCTAAAGGTAAAACATTTGGGTATAAATCATCTACTGGGTATAATTAATACATCTACCAGTGGCAAAGATACCAGAAGCTACTAGCCACAGGGTATTTTGAAATTTAGGTCACGGTTTATAAGAAAAAAGTCTCTTCCATTTTATTCGTAAAATGAACCATTTATGTTCTTTTTAACTTACCATTACCAAGCATTTAATAAATCTGAAATAAGTTTGGTTAAAATAGAAAAATTAATAAAGATTTTACATACATTATGGATTTCCATAATATATGCTTTTCTGGACATTATTCAAAGAATTTTGATCAATCGAATTCAAATTTCAAGTTTGATTAAATTTGAAGCACATACAAAATATATAAATAAATGGTATTTCACAAAATTATATTAAAGCCTCATTACATACGTACACAGTGGCAATTTTGTAGATTTATTCTGATGCTAAGTATTGTCAGACACATAACAGTAATGACTAATTGCTTAAGGATAAAGGACCCTGCAAAGTATCTGGTCGAATAGTACGAAACTTTGCCGAATGATAGTCCTCCATGTGTCAATCAAAAAAGTCCATGGGACCTAGGTCTAAAAAACTACTGTTCTGAAGCTACAGCCTTCTGAAATTATTGAATCCACGTTCTCGATGACCATCAAGTCCAATGATTTATAGGCGAGTTAAAGAAAATATTTATTTATAAAGTGATCAAGCTGGCTATTTTTTATGTATTTTCGCGTGCTGAATGCGAATCTGTGGTCCAAATAGCTGTATCATTATTCAGTCTTCAGAAAATCAGTGAAGCACCTACTGAAGAACAGCGATAGCGACATGTACTACTTGAGCGACATCTTATGTTTTTACGCATGCTGAACACTTATCCGTCATCAGCATATCTGCAGTACGTGGATTCGATAACTTCACAAGGCTGTAACTTTAGAACAGTAGTGTTTCACACCTAGGTCCCATGGACTTTTCTGATCGACACATTGAGGACTACCATTCGGCAAAGTTTCGTACCATTTGACCAGGACCGGTTTTTCATAAGGATAGTTGCACGGTTCTTTATAATACATTATTTTGATTTAATAGAATGACATGCCAATGCAAGTATCTCATTTAATGACAAATTGTAAGCTGGAATTATTTATGCCTATCGGAATCATAGAAGTGATAACTCTGTATCTAGGCTTTTTTTTCAGTCACACTATGCTCCATGTTGTGAAGAAAAGTGCATGAGTAATGCTCCAGCAGTAAGTAGAAAAGGATTTACAAATGCTAAAGAAACGTGAAATTTGTATAGATGGGAAAAACAGTACCTTTGCAACAGTTCAACCTAATGCTTAAACTTTCATCCAAGGTAGTAACATGATGTGTTTTGTCGGCACCACTTTTTTTTCAGAAAATGATGGAAAATCAAAAAGTGATGAAACATGCGTTTGTATTAAAATTAACACAACACTAAAAATGGGTAACAATTGCAAAATTTATTTTCTCAATAATGGCTAATTTCATTTTAATGGCCTATTTTTGAATTATATTAGAGTGTATGTTTTTGAATCGTTGTTGCTGCTGCTATACATTCAGTCTCTGTGGCCAGACAACTGATCAGAGATCAGCTGTACTCACAGAAGTTGAGGCACTCTCTTCGCAAGTATAGTAAAATGGAATAATATTATTGATTTGGGTAAAAGAGAAAGATTGATATCAGTTGACCATACCCATAATTAATGCCATTTTCTAGGGTTCCCTATTCCTACCCTAAGTGGTGCTTACAGTCTACCAACATAAGTTGTTTCTGGGCATAGAGATATTATTTCTTACTCCTCAATTATGACAAGCTAGAAATTTTGATAGCAATTTCTGTTTTTAGCATATATTATGTAACCGAGAATAAAAAAAATTATTTGTTTTTTATATAATTATGTGAATAATAGTATATTTCCGGTGAAGTGAATATGCTGAAATCAGCAATTGGAGATATAATTAAAATGTACCGAGACACCTGATAGGGTAGGCATTGATTCTAGACGATCCTTAAAATGGATAAAAGGGGCAAATACCTTATGTTAACATCTTCAAGTGCTAAAGAGGGATACTGTGAGGGAAATTATCACCTTGTGGAACTTATAAACATACATTAACATATCGAGTGAATATTGTCATTAGTGGATAGACAACTCTGGTTACACTTACTGACGGAACTCGAAGAAACATTTAGCTTGGGCTAAATTGAAAACTATTTGGACAGGTGGAGACAGCCCTGACCTAAATATCATTGAAATATTATAACACCATATGAAAAAATCTTTGCAGAACAACCACCAAGAATTCTTGATCTCATGAGAAAAATCCAGATAAGATAATTTTGCACTCAGGGATTTTATAGATCCCTAGTCGACACTATGCCAAGGAGAATTTACGCTATTATAAACGCCAAAGGAAACGTTATGAATTATTAAATCATAAGTATTAAATAAATACGAGTCAATCACCTTTCTTGACTACTGAATTTGTGACAACTGAAATTTATTTAGTTGAGTTCAATTTGGGACACTTTATTTAAAAATTGTCCAATTTGTCAAAATTATCAATGAAAATGACATGATTTAAACAAACATATCTGTCAATTAATATGCAGCTAAGATTAAAAAAATCCAAGTAAATCAAAATCAGATTAGCTGTTTGTAAGAAAATCTATTTTTAAATTAGCATTCATGTGTTAGTAGTGCAGTAATTTTAATGCAAAGTATATTTCAAACAAGTATCAATTACAAAAAAATGAGATGTGAACAATGAGAAAAATTAAACTTACAAATTTCCTGCTTCCGCAGCATCCAACAAGTCATTTAATGTGCCCTCGTAGGCCAATCTCCTCAACTCCGACTTTTTCTGCAAGTATTCTTCTCCTTTATCGATGACGTGCCTAAAGTTACTCAGGTCACATATAGGAACATTACTGTTAAGATTATAAGCTGTGGCTAAAGTACTCTCAGGAATGATCAATTTAATAGCTATAGTTGGAAAATACTTGTGAACAGCTTCAGTCACTGACGATATAAGATTAATTATGGACGGTTTTTCCGAAGGCATAGATTTAACAATTAACGGCCACATTTGCCTTATAAAGAGCCAATCATGTCTGGCTACGATAGGAGAACTTTTAGGCCCTAATAAGACATATAAGCAACCTTTAAATTTTTCGTGGTTTTTCTCAGAATCCAGCTGTAGTATTTCCTTAATTTTTTCTGTTAGCACTGTGTAAGAATATGGAAAATATGAAACAACAGCGAAAAGTTTACTCTGAGCAGCAATTCTCATCTAAAACAAAAGTCACCAATTTTCCAAGGCAAAATAAAAAATTAAAATATTACCTCACTATATCTGGAGACGCTCAATTCAAATAAATCTAACAATATCTGTTTGTGTGTTTCAGTGAATGAACAATTTCTACTTTCTATTCTAAATTCTTGCTGCAACATAACTCTGTCGATTAAGACATGACGAAGGTGTAACTTCTTCTGGTGTAAACGATCTTCTAATAACTTCTTTGCCATGTGAAAGCTTTTCCAATGAAATTCAAAATCTTGGCCACGCGTTTTATTAAATAATACAATGTTATATATCTAAAATAGTACAATCAAATTTTCTACACAAATATCTATAAAATAAAGTAGAAAGATCTCATCTATATATCAGGAACAGTTAATTATAGAATTACAAGAAAAAATTAGATTCTTAGTAAAGGTAATACACAGAAGTGATTGCAGAAATAATAATAAATAAATTTTAACTGAAAAGAAATATCTGTAGCTTTGTTTGGTTTAAAGAACTTTTACTTCATCAGATTCTTAACAAATAAAATCATTTTGGTCTGTATCTATATAAGCAATAGAGAGTCCCAAAATTATATAAAAATATACATAAATAAAATAAAATATTGTAGTTTTCTCAATAAACACATGAGCTCCTAATAAAAGTTCTTTTTATTTTTTTAATTGTCCCATTTTCTTGTTTCGTCATGCAGCGCGTGTGGTGGGCTTGGCCTATGTCTACCATGTGCCAGTCTATAAAAAACGAGTCGTTCGCGACCCAATACACGACACCCACACAGGCTAGCTGGTGACGAATGAAGAGCGCCAGAAGAAAGGGCATCAGTCAACGAGGCCTTGCCAGGACAGGAGAATGGTCTATGAACTGCTCAAACTTGGCCGTTTCTGCGGTCTGGGATGACGGGAAAATAGCCTGCCTCTATGAGGCGTCTGGGCCTATACAGATGGCGTGGGTAAAAAGCGATAGTCCTGCTCAAACCATCCCCAACCGAATCAAGTCAGTTAATCACCTAGATTAGAGATAACTGAAGTACAGTTAGTCGGCAGTTGCGCTCAAGGACAGTCAGTCGGCAGCCGTGCTCGTGTCAAGTCGCAAATCGTAGTCAGCCCTTGTTCACACTAATCGCAGTGCTTTCCGAATGTTTCTGCTTTAACTCTAATATCTTGTTTCCTTTTATTTCATTATTGCTTATCACCTACTGCGGTGACTAAGAAAAGATTCGACAGTCAAAAGCTTGGCTTCGGAAATTTCTCTAGTGCTATTAAAGAATATACTCAACATGTGACAGGTAAGGTGCACGGAGAATACGAAATTATTAGATGTAGATCAAATAGATATATAGACTTTGGTTAAATCTAAATTATCCTTAAAAATTAACATTCACCTGGTATATCCAAATATCCAACAGGTAGGCAGGTACTTTTTTGTTTATCCTAAAGTATTCAGAGATTCTGCCCTCATAGACTTTTGCCTATCTTTATACTACCATTTAGTTACTATTTTATTTTTTTTTATTATGGGAAATAGGCAATGCTGTCACTAGCTGGTCAAGTGACCTCTGAAAACCTCTACTTACATAGCGTAGTAACAGTAAGGCGAGGCAAAAACAGTAACACCACTAAAACTGCGAATTTCAAATATGTTACAAGTATTAGTAAAATGACTAATTACTGTTATCGCTATCACTATCACTATCATAGCACTATCACTACTGCCGCCTAAAGTTATATGTGGTTCTATTATAACTTCAACTCTTGTATCGAGTCCCACATTTGTTGTTCTTCTTTTTGTATGTACATATTGTACTTCCTACAGATCGCAAATAACGTAGTAGGGTTGTCCACTATAAAAACAAACCATATACAAATTATTGTATAGTCAAATTTTAAATATATCACAAATTAGTGGTAGAAATCATTTATGAATTTTTGTGTTACTTAAAAACTAGTCTGACGTCATAAGGGACAATTGGACAAGAAGCTAGTAACGATCCTATTGCATAATTTTGAAGAAGAAAATATGTCAAAATTGTCCATCAAACCCTGCTGCCCTGTTTCCCATTTATAAATAAAAGTGACACTAGTGACAGCAGTCTATCAATTAAGAGTATTTGTGATCGTTATTATTAATTTCCTGATTGTAATGGATTCAACAAAATTTAAGTGGTGTTTTGTTCCACATTCCATATAGCCAATTGCATTATCTCCATAAGACTCCCGAACTGCACTAAATTTCCATAAATAAATAGGTATTTTATATAAATAAACACAATAAAATCATTGATTAAATATGTTGATCCTTACCTGACTGCTTTTATACCTCTGATTTCGCCAATATTAAAACGCTCATCTCTTTTAAAAAATTAAATTCACGATCATAAAAATATCAATTTTCGGTAAAATTTGCGAAGTAGCTTTCACAAATCCCAATTCACTATTCACTTTAATTATAAGGGAAGCTATTAAATGATTATTACTAATAATAATTTTACTTAATAAAGGAAATTGAAGATTAAGGAAAATAATTCATAGACTTGAAAATATTTTATACGACAGTGTCACTGACAGACTGACACTACTGACAGTGTTGATAGAGCGTCTTCTTTCAATTTTTTTCCTTTACGCAATCATTTACACATAATTTCATTACAAGGTGCCCCTTATGACGTCACAGCCGTTTTGAAATGTTATAAAAAAATCAGTTTTAAATAATTATTTTAAAACTTCTGACGCATTTCTCAATTTCTAATTGTGTATACAAACTAGTTGGTACGTGTAGAATTATATTATCTACTTTTTGAATTTTGGACAACAACCCTATTATCAATATAAATTTTTTTCCCATCATATATTTCGCTCTTTTGCTTTTTTACACTTTCAGTATTTTTCAAGGCATGATAAATATTTCTGACGGACAATTTTGTTAAACAAGTGCACATTTCTTTGGCATCATCACCGGCATATCCGTGTTTTGAGTTCTAATTCCCTGATAAGATTTGTTTATGATACAACATTCATAATCTGTTAATTTCGCTCGTTTATGACTACTCTGACTATTAACAGATTGGCCACTAACACTCACACATAATTCCATTTTTACAAACACGTTAGAATAATTAAAATATAAAAATAATAACACGTTTTCCGCATTTGCATGCATATGACATGAAAGGAATGTTTAAGCTGGAAACGGATACCAAGAGAAATGAAACTGTGTCATCTCTCTTTTTGTACACGATAAGCAAAGACTGCATATGTGAATACAGATTAAATATATTTTTGGTATACTATGCGAAATAAATAGCACATTACAATTTCCATGCAGAGAATACACAAAATTAGTTTACCAATTAAGAAATTTTGAAAATTGTGATTTATTTATGAAACTTATTGCCTAGTGTTTTGGAACTCTGGTTTAGTTCTTCGAACAGTCATCAGCTTAAAACTTATCAATGGAAAAATTTTTTTTAGAAATTGTTCTACTATGTTAACACTGGTTAAGCCACACTAAAGTTACAGGCATTTTTAAAAATAATTGTCCTTTTCTCCTGTTATTTGACAATTTATATCGAAAAGTGTAGAACCAAAATAGTCTAAAATTTATTGAGGATTGGAACAAAAATATTTCTGGCCCACCTTATTTACATACATTAAAAAAATATGCAGAAATTCCTTTTTGCCACTTTTACTAAGAATTTTTTTCAGTGCTTATGATGAACTGTTCTTGAGATATGGACATCTCTATTATTAAAGTATCACTCCATTAAAAGAGATGCTTTTCGGTTATAAGACCCTCTTTCTTAATAAAACTAATAGCTTTATTAAACAACTATTAATAATTAGAAAGAAATATGGTTTAATTCAATTATTCATGATTCATGTTAAAGTAAAAGATGTTATATGGCAAATATTTCAAGTCGCCTTGGACACAGATGAAATTATATTACTCTTCCTCTTTAACTAAACATATTCATGTAAAAGTTTTACAATTTTATATATCTATAACAACTTTGCATATATATTTATAATACAGGTTATATTTTTCTACTTACATTTACTATATTCTGAATGCTTTGTGTGTCACCTTCATCCAGTTCCAATAATTTTTTTTGGACCCTATGCAACGTATCCACAATTACTTTTCTAACATTTCTACTACCATCAGGCATGGTAACTTTATCACTACCACTCACTACTAAATTAAACGCCCATGGATCCAAAACACTTTCTACTCTGTAAATCAAATATTATTAGAATGGAAAATAAATCCATGAAAATGTATATTACAATGGAAATACTGGTTCCTCCCAGACAGGCAATAATGGTTGACAAGACAGAATCGAAATAATAATCTTTAAGGTTTGTTTGAGTTCCTGTCTTGTTAGTGTTAATTCTCCACTGGAATATGAGTCTAATTTATTTAATTCGGGGACCAAATATTTGTTTAATAGTTTTTGCACCTCATTAACTTCTTGCTTCCCAGGAACGTACCATGATATTTTTATATCTTTTATGTTTTGAGCTTTACCCCACTCTCTGTAATTAAAAAAAATATTATTTTCTTATATTAAGCATAATTTTAATTGAATGAATTTCAAATTGTATGCAATAATACTACTGTCTCAGAAACAGTGAGAAATACAGTTAATCGTCTGCTATCTGTAGCAGAACAAAGTTATGTAATCGACTGAGGAATTATTTTTGGGAAAAAAAAAATCGAAAATATTTCCATTAGCTAGGAGAAATTTTAGAATTTCAATTTTATTGTTACCCATGTTTATTTCCTTCTCAATTGTATATGAATTATTGTTAAATATGTTAATTGTTAATAAATGAAGTAAAAAAATATGTAGTCTACTTAAACCATTTTTTTGTAACTTGAAATAAATTACATCGTTTTATAAATTATGGACACCCTGTGTCTTGAAAATACCAAATTTCCGGATTTTTTTACTACTACTAAGATAAAAGTTGTAAGAGCTGTTATAATTTTTATAGCTTTTATTGCAATATAAAATATTTTTTTGCTACTTTTTTTTTTCAGAAAACGATAACTGCATAATTTGAAAATTTGTCATTTAATTTTTCACAGCAACGTTATTGCATCCAATTTAAAACAGCCTGTGTTATAAGATAAAATAGAAACATTGCTGAAAAATATTATTTACCTCACGGGTAAAAAGTCCTTAACATGCGTTGAATAGTCAAAAGATGAACTTCTGACTTCTGTCGGTTGAATGCTTGTAAGAGAAGCCATTATTATGTCTAGCATTCTTGAAGCTAGTTGGCTTGCACTTAAACATGCCATATGTAAGGTCTTGTCCAAAACCTTTGTCAATCTATCCATATAATGGATTAGTTCTGATCTCCCATCTGTCAACTAAAATAAGATTTTAATAGTTATTTACGTATCAAGGGCACAAAGGATGCATTTATGATCTTTAATGTGACTCAGGACTATCATATGCAAGCAACATAGGCACTTGTTACACTGGTGGTGCAAATAAAATTTTCATATAGTACCATTTTCAAGATTGCTATAAAAGTATATTTTTTTCAATGGCACATCTCTATGACTTGACTATTGTTTATGCTTAATATATGATGACAGACAATTAGTCAAGCTTGGGAATGATAATACCAGGCAGCAACTCTCTTTCTCTCCCCTCCTCCTTATTTATACAAGGTGGCGCAAAAGTTGTCATCCGATGTTCTTTGACAGTAATTTTTTTATTAAATGAAAAACTTTAGTTTTGCTTTTGGATTGTGTTTATTTGATGTCTAAATTTTTTTTTTCATAAAGTAGAAAAAATGATATCGGCCAAGTGGCCGCCGCCAGAATTGATTACCATACGTGCCCGATTTATGCATTTTCCATCACTCTTGCCAGAACTTCCGGCGATAGGTTCCCGCATTCCTGACGAGTATTTTCTTTGAGGATTTCAAGAGTCTGAGGCTTGTTGACATAGACTCGTGACTTCAAGAAACCCCACAAAAAGAAGTCTAGAACGGTTAAATCGGGCGATCTTGCCGGCCAGTGCAAATCACCAAAACGAGAGATTAGGCGACCGGAAATGCAACCCTCAGAATTTCGGTTGTGGGTCGTGCAGTATGCGCCGTTGCTCCATCCTATTGGAACCACATGTTCTCCAGTCCCAATTCGTCCAGTTGAGGTAGGAGAAAGTTATTGAGCATTGCTCTGTAGCGCTCACTGTTTACAGTCGTTTGGCCTGTGCGCGTTTTCAAAAAAATGAGGCCCGATGACGCTTCCAGCGTAAACACCACACCATACAGTAACTTTGAGCGGGTGTAATGGCTCTTCGTGTGTTATACGCGGATTTTCGGTGCCCCAGAAGCGATAATTCTGCTTATTCACATGTCCACAGAGATGGAAATGGGCCTAGTCGTTCACGATAATTTTCGATGAAAAGTTGTCTTCCTTGTGGTCGAGATTCAGGATGGCTTGAGTGTACGTTATATGCGCTTGGCGGTCAACGGCTAGCAGCTGATGCACTATCTGTACTTTGTAAGGGAACATCTTCAAGTTTTTCACCAAAATTCTCTGTAAAGACCGCCGATTGATGCCCAATTGCGTGGCAGGTCATCTGGGCGATACTCCAGGGTCCTCTGCGACATCTTCAGCCACAGCCGCGATATTTCCAGCAGAACCGCTGCTTTGGGGCCGCCCAGACCTGACAGCATCTCGTGTTGTCGCATACTTTTCTAGGCGAACAGCTGAACGCCGTAGTGTTTGCCCAATTGGTGTCGGATAACTGGGAAATCTACGTCTAAATTCACGCTGCGCCAACACCAACGACGAATTATTACGCAAAAAAATCAAAACAATTATTCCGCGTTCTTGAGGAGTATAGCGATTCATGTCTTATTGACCTGTATTTTGTATCTGTTTACTTCACAAATGTCAAAGCAGAACTGTCATTTACCGCCATTTGCAAAAATTATAGCATCTTCCGATAGGGTGATGACTTTTTTTTTTGCGCCACCTAGTACTATAAATATAGACAATAGTGGGTGTCACCTTCCAGCATTGCCATCAAGATTAACTAGTTTTCAAGCCGTGTGTCCTTCGAAAGAACCAGATCTCACTTCTGAACAAAATGAACCGAATCACGGAAAATTGAAGAACCGATACATAGGCTCTCGTCTATGTCTATTTGCTCTGAATGGTTCTTAAATTAATGAGAGTCATTCATTTTGCAAAACTGTATCTTTCATTGCTTTATAGACATGTCAAAATTTAGACATTTTCATCACTTCACTTCATCAGAAATAGAATTATCAGTTATAATATCACAAGAGCATAGAAAATATTCGATTATACTTCCGAGTCACAAGACGTATTCTGCGAAACACCACGACAGCGTAGCTGGAGTGGTGTTTTAAGGATATACGTCGAGTGAGGAGGTTAGTATAATCGAATATTTTCGTTTGCTCGAGTGGTATTCGATTCGATTATATAATTCAGAGCTTGAACCGAAGCGTTCCATTTTTTTTTGACGTTTATTGACAAATGTTAAAACTATCGTTACCATGACATAGTTCACGTTGTTGGAGGAGGCGAAACACCAAAACGGTTATACCACGTCGTCAAGAGTATAATCGCTTATCAATACATAGTAACTATGTAAAATTTGTAATTGCTATTGGCTAAATTTCTAATGAATTATATAATCAGACGAATATCTAAATATATTTTTCATATACAGGGTGTAACTTTAAGTGGGGGTCAGTTTTTTACGTGCAATAGTATGTGTTTCCCTGAATACGAATCTGTAATTTTTTTTTAATCAAATAAATACTCGAGTTATAATTAGTTTTTTAAACTGCACTTAATTGTTGTGTAAGCCGTCACTGAACAGAGTAAGCCAAGGAATTTACGTATGAAGTTGTATTCCTCACTGCCGGCATTGCCAGTTGCTTTTATACCAAGTACATTGTGCGAAGTTAAAAAATAATTTTGCAAATCAGATTGTTTTTGTATAATTTACGGACTTGTTATTTTGAAGCCATCACATTTTTTTGATATCAATGTGACAGAAAAGTCGAACTTGTAAAAAAACTATTTTTAAAAAATAAAGATTTACATGATTTATTTAATATTAACTAATATTGGTACGTAGATACGCTACTAATTGTAAATATCTTTTTAATCAACTCCTACACAGCGAAGAAACCAGAGATGGGCACTTTTCAAAAAAGTCTGTTACGGACATGTCGATGAACTATGTTTACATGTCGGGAAAAGTACTTTTGACCTTGAATCTAATAAGGCACCTATGAGTGACGCCATGTTTTCACAGGTCACTGCTTGAGGGTACACAAAGCAAAATATCACTTTTATTCTAATTAATATGTGTCGATATATTTTACTTATTACGTATTTAAAGTTACACCCTATATATATTACTATCATAATTTATTAATTATTCATTTTCCGAGCTTCATATTCGATAATTTTTTGCCCATCTTATATAAAAACTGGAAAATTTTCATGTCAAATTAGATGAATTAGATCTTCCTCTACAAAAAAAATAAACCTGTTTCCGGAACAACTAAAATATTTTGGAAACAGTAAATCCTAAGTGTGCTATATATTATCGACTTAAAAATAAATGCTCTTTCCAAAATTACAATAATATACAGGGTATAACCGGAAGTATCACACCACCACAATTTCAAAAAAAAAACCTTCGAACGGTTTCCAGATATCCATTGATGGAGTTCAAGGGGGGACACCCTGTATAGTAGTATCATAGCTAAATTTCTATTTATACCATTCATTTGATTTAAAAATGTGTACCTACCTCTGAGAGAATTAAAAGATTGTAAAGAAACTCGTCACCAATATGTTCCTCTTTTGCAATATTGGGGTTTTCATTTAGTAATTGTTCAATGGTGTCACATAAGTACGGTATAAATAATTTCAAAGTTTCCTTGGGATTGACCCTGGCAAAACAATGGCAACATACTGCCAACATTTTTCCAGAAACTTGTACCTCCATTATTTTATTTGTAACAAAATTGTACATTTTTTTTAAAGCACTCTAGAAAAGAAATTAAATATGAATGAGAAATGATTGTCTACAAATGGTAGATGAACGAAATGATTAAACGACTTACTTTGAAAATATCTGGAGAGCACTGATTCAAAACAACAGCAACAACAGTACCTAACGCACTTTCGGATATTGTTTCAGCTCGATTTTTAACGTTGTGGTTATTTGTCATTTGTTCTAAACGAACAAAATCTAATGAGCTTGATTCCACCCATGTGCAGATTCTATCAAAAAATTGAAGAACAAAATCCTCTAAGCCAGCTGTGGCTTCACAAATAACGTGCTCTTCTTCTGTTAGATTATGATAATTACTTGCTTCCGATGAGTTGATTAACGGAATCATATTTACGAAATGTACTATAAAGTTGAAGGTCACATATGACTTCCTTATGTCATTAGGATCTATACCAGGAAGTAATTCCATTAAAAGAGGTATCACATGGGTGGGACCTTCAGGAAAGTTGTTACGTGAACCTTGTACCATGTATCTGGAGATAAAAAAACAAAAAAAGAGATGATTACGGTTGTCTCCTCAATAAATAATTTTAGTAAACTTTACCGACTATTTTTGTAAATATATAGCATGGTTTATTCAACGTGTGTTACGATTGAGTCCTCAACAATGAAACTTTTTTTATTTGTCAATTTGCAAGAAAATATCATTATTTATATTTTCTGCTTATTTTTAAACTTTTAAAAATTTGCTGATTTCATATACAGTCACACTTTTGCACTCAGAACACGTTGAGAATTGGAGTGTATGTAAAAGTGTGAACGAGTTGAATCATTGTGAGATATTGTCAGCATTCCAAAGTCACAAATATGAAATTCTTAAGTACTGCAAAAAATATTTATCTAATTTTGTTACTCAGTTTTGTAATTATACTAAAAATTGGCTATTGTAAACTAAAATCAATTGATTCCAGATCCGTGTAGGTCATAAAATTTCACTGCATTTTCCTGGGGTCAAAAAACATGATATCTCATGTAAGAGTCTTATTTAAAATAGCTGTAAAAAAATTTTCTTTTCTGTTTCTCTGTTAGTTTTGAAAAGTTGCACCGCAACAACTGATATCGCTTTTGGATGATTAAAAAACGAGAGTTAAAAAGGATTGACTTTGGCGATCCAATATCCAATTAAACCTACAGCACTTTTGCGTCTCAGAAAGATTTAAATCAGAATTCGGAATAATTCAATATATCCACGATATTATGTCCTCCTAGAAATCTCCATTTGAAATAAATGAAATATGTCCAATTAATCATCATTTGTGGTATAACGAGAGTCCCAAGTATCTCAAGCTAACTAACTGATATGAAACGATGACATTATATTTTGCATAATGATAAAAACCACGAAATCAAGACTCTTTTTCCAAAAAATCTGAATTCTGGTTCTTGTAAGCAGACATATAGTGTAACATTTTTTTTTGAAACATTATGTAACGTTTTAAAAATATCTAAATATAAAACTCAACTACAAATTTTTAGTAGAAACAGTTTTAAAAAGATATTGTTGAATAGAGAATAAAAATTCCTTTACAATCAGGTGTTAACCTTTCTAATATAAAATCTTTGGTAGAGCCACTTTCAGGAGAGTGAAGCGGGAGGGGATTATTTCATATTGCAGAATAATCAATTTTTATTTGATAATATTCAGTGTTGGCTTGTGACCTTGAGAATAGGTGAAGTATATTCATTGATTGATTTCCCCTTTTTTCCATATCAAGAGAATAAGGTGCAGGTCTCACGCAATTTAAAAAACCCTTTTTGTCCTCAATTTTCCATCTGGAAAATGGTGTTTCCAATAAAATACATACTGGAACATACATAGGAACATTTCTACAATTATTATACAAAACAAATATTAACAAAGAACCGTTATAAACGTGCACTAGACGACGCGTATTGTATAAACTGTTAAAAGCAGGCGATGGGCGATGCTGCTTCAATTTCTGCGTCACTCGTTCCCCCACGCTGTAGTTTAATCACGTATTGGCCGCCTTGTTGCCATGACAACCGCCGTAAACAACGCTACGAAGAGAAGCAGAATACAGACTGATTTCAATTTGCGTTACTTGCGTATACTATATGTTATATGGTCCAAGGTTGATGTTCGCGCTCAATGAAGGCAATGTTTTGTTAGAAGGCGTTCACAGCGCAACTATTCTGTTTATTTCTGCGTATTAAACAAACAAAATCGGAGAGGATGTCTCTGTGAGTGATTATGATGAATGTGAAGAGGAGGCGACTGTGGAAGGAAATTACATTATAAGTGCACCGACTAATGAAGAAATAGAAGATTGTATAAAACAACTAAAAAATAACAAGAGTGGTGGAGAAAACAACATAGTAGCAGAAATTTTGAAGCGTGGTGGTGATACATTGGTAACAAGAATATGGAAGCTGACGGGAAAAATTTGGGAAGAAGAAAAGATACCACAGAAATGGGGGAACGCACTGATATTACCCATCCACAAAAAAGCTGCTGGGGAAGAATGTTGAAGAATTATCAAGGAATTGCCCTGCAAAATGTGACGTATAAAGTGATAGGAAAATTAATAAAACATAGGCTTGAGAAATATCATGACGAACAGATGTGAGAATATCAAGGGGGCTTCAGAACAGAAAGGTCAACCATTGATCAGATATTCATCATGAAGCAAATACAACAGAATGCCTATGAGCAAAACCTTAGCCTACATTTGCTATTTATAGACTATCGCCAAGCATATGATAGTATTAACAGGAGGAGGTTATATCAAGTGATGAGAAAATTAAGAATACCAGGAATGCTAAGGAGGCTGGTGGAAATGACCGTGAGAAAAACAGACAACAAGGTTATAATCGATGGGTCAACGTCTGAGGAATTTGCAGTAAAGAAAGGGCTAAGGTAGGGAGACCCAATGTCTACAGTTTTATTTAATCTAGTTCAGGAAATTATCCTGAGGGAGAATGGCGTCAACACAAAGGGACTGTTGTATGGCAACAGACACCAGTGCCTAGCTTATGCTGATCATGTGGTACTGATGGCGAGATCCAAGGGCGAGGTCATAAGAACGTTCAAGTTATTAGAAAGTAAAGCAAGGGAGTATGGTTTAAGAATAAATGAGAGCAAAACCAAGTATATGGTAATGAAAGATTTGAACATAGGGCTATCCACCAATCTAGTCATTAACTGTACAGATAATAGGACATATACATTGGAGAAAGTGCAACAGGTAGAATATTTAGGGATAATATTAACAAGTAAAGGGGATGAAGATAAAGAAATAGAAAAACGGTTAGCGAAAGGAAGTAAGACAGCAGGGATGCTTTCAAAAATTTTAAGATCCAAAAATGTAACAAGAGCAACAAAGCTAAGAGTATATGATACAATATTAAAGCCCACAGTTATCTATGCGTGTGAGATATGGACAATGACACAGAAACTGGAGAACAAGTTGGAAATCTGGGAACGTAAAATGTTGAGGAAGATTTTTGGAGGAATTAAACTGCAGGATGAATTTAGAAGAAGAACAAATAAAGAAATAATGGAGTTGTACGGGAAGCCAGACATTGTTCAGGTGGTGAAAGCGCAGAGAGCTAGATGGCTGGGACACATTGCAAGAATGCCCAATGATGGGTTAAAAAAATACTTATGAGAGAAGTAGGGAAAAGAAGAAGAGGACGACCGAGGAAAAAAATGGTTGGACGAAGTGATATCAGATTTGAAGAAAATAGGAGTTAGGGACTGGAGGAACGATGCGTTAGATCGAAAAAAAAATGGAAAAGGAGAGTGAAAGAATGTGAAGCCAAGGGCTGGTAGGCCTGTAGTGCTGTATATATAAACAAACAAACACAATACATTTTCAATATAGAATTATACTTAAATTATAAAATTTATATAAAATTAAAAATAATTTTAATTTGTACAACCAAACAGAAATTTTAAGCGAAACGGTGCGTCACTTGCGTCACCTTACGAGCCGCCACCGATAATATTGAATCAATACTGCTGCCTATGAGTAGCTAACATTTTGCATAAAAAATTTCATTTAATAAACTGTTTCTCTTTGTTTTTTATAACATAACGATATACCTGTATTTTTTACCTTGTAAACAAACTAAAAAAAAATTTAACGATCCTAAACTTCTAACATATTTAGCAGTTAATATTGTTTTTTCCAACAATATTCCAACAATTTTTTCATTATTCTGTTTAAAATACATATCTTAAACGTACAATAAAAATAAGCATCCACCAAGCAGATCGCGCCTGGGCACATGACAAAAGAGAAATCCTTCTCACATCTATTTTTATGGAATATCGTCCACTAATGGCAAGTCGCAAAGAATCGGCACAGAAGGGATCAGCGGATTACTCATTAAGCAGATTTATGCTGCTGCAAAAATGTTATGCGTCACCGTCCAGCTTAGGGAATGCTAGACAAATGAATCTGACAGTAATTTCTTCGCATGCTTATAATTTGTTAATAACAAATGAAGAATTATTTATTTCTTTAGTGTCATAATATAACGAATTGTGTGATACCAAAGCAAAGTTTCCTCTAAGATGCGCGGGTGCGCGGCCGCAAATTTTTTTCAAACACAGGCACAGGACAGCCCCCCCCCCCCTTGCACGATTTTACATATATTTTGAACATTTTTGCTCCCATATACTTTTGTACCACGCAGTCAGAAAAAAAATAGAGGGAACATTGGTACAGTACAAGAGAGCCTAAGTATCAGGATGAACAACGCTGTATTAATATTTTACAAGAAATATGAGAGGTTGTGAAACACACTCATATCATGCTCCCATATTTTATGCTTTTATTTTTCCTTTAATTCGTCTTCCTATTCAAAGAGAATTTAAAATAAAAACATTTCTTTGTATGATAAGTAAATGTAGCAGGTGGAAAAATGCAGCCCGCCCCAACTATTGCGCAATACACAATATTGTGTAACATTAGTAACCATTTGACCATTAAAACTGAATATCTTGGAAAATTTATTTATCCACTACATGTGAACCACACTGTCTACTGCAGTACATGTGAAGTTTTAAATTATAAGTACACATAATTTTTAATTTATGGAAAAAGTGAAGATTAAAATTCCTTAAAACATTTAACAGAAATACCTACATGCCAGAATAAATCCTGTAAAATTAAACTGGAGAATAAAAAATGGGCTTAATTAATTCAGGCATTAGATGCAAGCAATTTACACTTTATACTGAGTTTGATGTCTGAATGAGTTTGGGGTTTTTATTGTGAATAAGGCTAATAATAATAATAAATACAAAAAAAGATCTATATAGTGTCCAATTAAGAATGTGATTTACTTGAAGCATAGCTGTCTTGGGTCGAATAAATGGACTTAGATCAAGTTACCTTAGTACAATTTTTTTACGATAATTCCGTCATTTTTTAGGATATTACCTGAGGGTTGAGCTACCTACCAGGCGCGTCCCCGGGTGGCGGATAGGGGAAGCCATAGGACC